GGCGATAATTTCGCGATTGAATCGGGCTGGGTAAGGTAAGTTATCCAAGTATTATAGATTATTTCGTCCATTTTTATATTTTTATAATTTGTTGTTTTTATTATTTTCTTTTGGAAGTATTTCGTGAGGTGGAAGGAATTTGTCGGTTAAATGTTCGGTTTAGCTTTTGTTGTTTCTTCTTTTCTGCTCGTTGGTTTGGGATTCGGGATAATGCATCTACATTGGAATGTTTTCGTCCTGGTTTGTAAATAATTTCGAAGTCATATTCTTGAAGAGTTGTTATCCATCTCATGCTTCGTCCAGTAGGTGAGGATTTGTTAATAAACCAGGTTAGTCCAACATGGTCGGTAATAAGATCAAATTTCTGTTCTAATAAATATTGTCTAAAATATTTAACTGCCCATACTACTGCAAGACATTCCATTTCGTGGGCAGCATAGTTTTGTTCGGCTGGTGAGAGTCCTCGACTAGCGTAGGCGACTGGTCTTTCGTTTCCTTTATTATCTAATTGAGATAGGATAGCTCCTACGCCTAATTTAGAAGCATCTGTTGCTAGAATGAATTTTTGTTTATAATCGGGGTACATAAGGACAGGTGCTGTGGTGAGTTTTTCTTTTAAGATTTGAAAAGCTTGTTCTTTTTCCTTATTCCATCGAAATTCTTCTTCCTTTTTTAATAGTTGGTGAAGTGGATGGGCAATCTTTGAAAAGTCTTGTATAAATCGCCTATAATAGGAAGCTAAACCTAAAAATCCTCGTAATGTAGTCAAATTGGTAGGTTGTGGGAATTTTACTACTTTTTCGATTTTTGCTGGATCTGGTTTGATTCCGTCCTTTCCTATTACGTGTCCTAGGAATTCAAGACTTTCCTTGCAAAAATGACATTTCTGAATATTTAACCGTAATCCTGCCTTTTGTAGACGATCAAACGTTTGTTGGAGATGGTCTAAATGACTTCCAAACGTGGGTGAATGTATATTTGTATCGTCGAGGTATATTACTAGAAAAGTCCATGCTAGTCCAGAATAAACGACATCCATAAGACGTTGAAAGGTAGCTGGAGCATTAGCAAGGCCGAAAGGCATTACGTTAAATTCGAAAATGCCGTTTTGAGTTGTGAAGGCCGTTTTTTCTTGGTCATTTGGATCCATTTCTACTTGCCAATATCCACTTGCGAGGTCGAGTGTGGAGAACCATTGTGAATTTCCTAGCGAATCGAGTATCTCGTCGATTCGAGGTAATGGATAAGCATCCTTTTTGGTGATTGCATTTACTTTTCTATAATCGACGCAAAATCGTAATTTTCCATTCTTCTTTTTAGCTAATACTACTGGTGAGGCCCAAGGACTTGTAGATGGTTGAATTATACCGTTTTTTAGCATCCGTTGAATTTCCTCAGCTATAAGTTTGTTGGATTTAGGAGGGACTCGATACGCTCGTTGTTTTATTGGTCTTTCGTCCCCTGTGTCGATCTTATGGCGGACTAAGTTTGTTCGTCCTAAATCGTTATCATCTGTTGCAAATAAATCGGCATATTTCAATAAAAGCTGATTAAGTTGGTCCTTCTGCTTTTCTGTAACCGATCCTACATTTACTTTTGGTAAGTCTTTTGTTGTTAATAAGTAAGATTCAGTGGTTCTATTTCTAGGTGTTTTTGAGATTTCTTTTGGGAATTCTTTTTCAAAATATTTAATCATTTCTTTGGCGTTATAGAAACTTTGAATGAATTCAACGTCGTCGTTTAGATATCCTAATATTGTTCCTTCTTTGAGTATCGCAACTTGGTCGTTTTGATTTATTAATGTAAGTTGAATTTTATATTGCTTTCCAGGATGGATATACTGATAGTTACAAATGACGTTGTATTTTTCAAATAATTCTTGATTAGGTTCAAACAAGAGTGGTTTTGAGCTGAGTTGAGTTCCATTTCGGTTTTCCCAAACGATCATTCCTTTTGGTAGGATTGAAATCGTTTTTTCTAGTAGGACTGGAATACCAATGGTTTCTTCTTTGATTTCATCTTCCTCTTTAATCGTAGCTAATGTTGTTTGTTTCTTTATTCGTCCCGTCGATCCCAGACCCTTTGTTCCTCGGTTACTTTTCCCTAATTCTTCTCTAGTTCCAGTTAATTTCATTTTGGATATATTTAGGATAGGAAGGTAGATCGCCTGACCAATCTTTTCTTTTGGTAATATCTGGTAGGCTTTGTTGGAGTTATTTTCCAGGAGTAATATAAGATTCCCGATGTATCCAGCATCAATAACTCCTCCTTGGACGACAATTCGTTTAGCCGCTAATGAGGAACGGGACGCTAATTGCATCATAGTTCCTTCTGGTATTTCAACGGCGATTTTAAGGTCAATTTTTGTTATCGTGTGAGGTTCTAATATCAAGGGTTTCTTTCCTGGATATCGAAGATCGAATCCAGCGTCGGTGTGATATGCTTTTTCTGGTTGGATTCCTTCCTTTTGATGATTATAATATTTTAATGATTGTTCATCATTTTTCTGTAATTTTACCATTTTCCTTGGCTTAATTGGTTCATAACCTTGAAAATCAGCAGGTATCGGGTAATCCATGATAGTGCTAAAAATTTGTTCTTCGACTTCCTCGAACCAGTCAGGTTGGTCGTTCCATTCTTCGTCAGGTATTGGTGTTATTTCGGGCCAGCAATCATCGCAGAATTCATCTTGGCAAGGTATTAAACAGGCGGAACATAATTGAATACCCATGGTCATGAGTCGCTCTTCTTGTATTTTTCGAGTTGGACTCAATTGTTGATAGTTTTCGTGGAATATTCCTCTGTCGTCCAACCAATCGTAATCGGCGATTTCATCTATGAAATATAAGTATTCTTCCTGTTTCATTTGTCTTATTTCTTCT